TGTGAAAAATTTCGATTGGGGCAAAAAATTTTGTTTTCTTTTGAAAAGTTGCTTTCGAAAAATTTCCGTGTCCCTGCGTTACACCAAAGCGAAACTCGCTATTTGTCGATCATCACGTGACAGTAACTTTTTTACGGCGATCCTGGGGTAGTTTACCTATGTTTTTCGATTATCATTAATATCCGAAACCGGCAAATTTAACCTGCTATTACTATCAGGGACGTGTGGATTTTGTGATTTGCTGTGATCGAAGCAAATCACAGAAAGTATGTGGTTTATTGTGATTTACTGCGATTTACTTCGATTTACTTCGATTTACTTCGATACAGTAAAATGTAGTTTTCAAGCGGGGACTTATATTTTCAAGCATATTAACCTGCTATAGATATTTTTTAGCAAATATAATAAATCATTATAGTATTTTGTTTAGCGAAGTATAATGAATTGCTATTAGATAGTATTTTGTTCAGCGAACGGAATAAATTAAAGTCAACTCTTTCTATAACCAAATACCGGTTTTGAAAAAAAAATTTGTAGAAAATTACTATGCTTTCTTAAGAACCCATGGCACTTGCTATACCGAACTGTTATTAAATTTAAAATTTTGTGTTCGTTATGTCCAGAAGTCATTATATTGAGGCTGATATATACAGAGTCGACTATATAATAATATATGAAAATATATATTTTTTTTAGAATACATAATATTATCAAGAAAATAAAGCTATAATTGCAGTTTGAACACGACAACAAGCACTTTTATAACGAGTGTAAAACGTAAACAGTCTGAATGAAATTTAGTGCAACACACTTTTTAAAAATTGTTATTACATAAATTTATGTACAGATAAGTAACTGTAATTGAATCTGTGTTTTTATTATTAATCAGCAGTAAATCAAATAATTTATTGATATCGAAAACATAATTTGCTAAATTATATCACAAAATCCACACGTCCCTGCCTGTTATCATTTTTTTTCTAGGCGACGTAGGCTAAATATCACATATCATGTGGACAATTCATTTTTAAGATTTATAAAAAAATATTAATATTCATACAATACAAACTAGTGTAACTTACTCAAATTTTTCTATATATATGTACTGTATACTATACGTTTTTCCTTTTTCACTAGCCCGCTCAATATCTTTCATGCCATCAATTATACGACTATTTGCAAAACCGGTGTAAAAATGTGCCGTAATAAATTGAATGTGATACTAACTTCTATCACCAATGTTAAAAGTTTGCAGCTAAAAAGATATAAATCTGAAACACGAAACACAAGCAAATTACACGAATTATAGGGTAGTCATACAAAAACAAATGGTAATTATAATGAGTTTAAAACGTAACAAATATTAATATCTGATTATGCAGCTGATAACTGTAAAATATATGTTCTTGTTGGGTTGATATTTTGACTTTAGAATAATTAGAATACATAATGATAATTAATTGCTTTAAGTTAAAAGAATTTTCATATCGACTCAATGAGTTAAATAAATTCAATGTTGAACTTAACCTAATATGGAAAATATGTACGTATGTACGTACATAAGTAACTTTTAAAAAGTATCTCGACATTTTTGATATCTTTTTTACTTTGACATTATTTGGAGATTTTGGGTTTCTATTAGATTTTACGAACAAATTGAACAAATTATTATTTTATTACAATAATTTAGTCTACGTTCTTTAGATTTCTAATTTTTAATAGTCGTAAAAATTCCTTTTGCTTTAAACCCACCCAAATATTTATCAATTACATTTTTTTTTATTCTTTCAGTAATTCTTTATCTCCGATTGATTCTTTTATATTAATATTTCTCTCCTTGTTTTTAATAAATCTTTATCTCCAACACATTCTTTTAAATTTTCTTACTTTCAGATTACCATGCCATATTCATTAGGCCATTTTTGAAATCACTTCTGAAATGGAAGCATACGAAGATTTACTTGCAAATCTGAATAGATTATTAAAAACTAATCCAAAAAATATACAAGCATTAGGACAACATGGTGCAATTTATTGTGCAATAGGAAATTATAAAGAATCAATTACAGATTTAAATAAATCATTGAAAATTGAAACTAATAAAACATTTGCATTACGAAATCGTGGGAAGGTTTTTTATAAGTTAGGTAAATATGACGAAGCATCCGCTGATTTCAATAAATTATTAAAGATTGAAACAAACGATGCATTTATAATAACAAATAATAAAAAATTTATAATATGATTGGCAAATATGAACAGGCATTTTTTAAATTAGTAATAATAATATCATGATCCGTTGGGAATTAGCGGAAACGAAGTTTCCGCCTATTCACGGTATTATTAATTAACCCTCCCGTGATCTTGATATAGTGATCGGGAGATTATACTAAAATTATTAGAAATTGATTCAAATGATGTATTTACTTTGGTAAATTGTTGGACCACTTGCCGTGTATTGGGAAAATGTGAAGAATGGATTGTATATTTCAAAACCCCATTTGATATCAATTCCAGTAAAAAATGAGAATTAGGTGGCAATGGTGAAATTTATCTTAAAAATGGAAAATATTATGAAGCGCTTGCAAATTTAAATAAATCATTAGAAATTGAACCAAATAACATAGATGCTTTGAAAATTCGTGCTGAAACTTTTATATGATGTGTAAGGATAATGAAGCTTTTAAAGATCTAAACTTAATTCATTTGAGTTAAGAATTAGAGTATCAATATATCGAAATTTGATGAAATATAAAGAATAAGTTGCAGCTTTAAATGAATCATTAGAAATATTCCAAATAATGTTTTTGTGTTGAGACATCGTGGAATAAGTTATCGTAAGATATATAAATACAAAGAGTCGCTTGCAGATTTAAACAAATTACAAGTAATAGAACCAAATTATATATTTACACTATTTGATTAGGGAATAATTTATTATAATATTGATAAAATGGAAAAATCACTTTTCAATTTAAACAAATTTTTAAAAAATTGTCCAAAATTACTTTGACGTATTTTTATATTGAGGTTGAATTTATTATGAAATGAAAAAACATGATGAATCAATTTCAGATTGTAACAAAGCATTAGAAATTTAAACAATTAATTAAAATTGACTTTAATAATACATTTGTGTTATATATTCGAGGTGAATTTTATCGATTGTTGAAAAATATGAAGTCTTGAAGACATGTACAAATCATCGGCAATAATCCAAATAATATTGAGGCTTTAGGAGCTCGAGGAGAACATTATCGAGCGTTAGAGAAATATGAAGAAGCACTTGAAGATGCATAGACATTAGTTATGAAAGGAGGAACTTATAATAATATGGAAAAATATGAAGAAGCATTTATATTTCTTGAAAAGTCATTAGAAATACATCCATATAATTTTTTTGTGTTGGGCTATTTTGTACGAAATATAGATCCAAATAGAATGGACTTCTATAGCTATTATTTTAACAATACATATTGGAATATGGACAATGGTTTATATCGGGATTGTGTTGTAGAAAAATGTAAATATTGGGATCTTGATGTTGAATTTGCTAATAGTACAGAAATGGCAGGAAGTTTGACAGAAGTATGTGACGAATGTAATCAACCTTGTGTAATTATATGGACTTTATTAACAAAGTGGCGTCAACCATGTAATTCAAGCTGTTTTCAAAATAATTTTAAAAATTGACTAGTAATAATATTAAAATAGATGATTTTATTCAAAAATTACAACTTGCTGCAGACAGACCATATAAAGTTATTGAATGGATTCCATTTAATAGATTATGTCTTGTAAAATATATGACAAAAGGTGGATTTGGATCTGTATATTCAGCAATTTGGCAAGATTGACAAATTAGAGGTTGGGATATAAATGATTAAAAGTGGATTCGTATAGGAATTCAGAGTGTAACATTAAAAACAATAAGTAATTCAATAGATCCAATTTCTGATCTTTTGAAAGAAATCGAATCAAATATGGAGGTAGCTGATGATCCACATTTTATTAGATGTTTAGGTATTATCTAAAATAAATAATTATACGATAGTAATGGAATATGCAACATTAGGTAGTCTTCGTGCATACATGAATGCTAATTATATAGATGTAGATAAAAAAGGTCGGATATTATGGTCAATTAGTAAAGGACTTTATAAATTTACATGAGAAAAATTTAAGTCATCAAGATTTTCATCCAGGAAATCTTTTGCTTATTAATGGATTTTTAAATATTTCAGATTTTGTTTTATGTAAACAAGAAAATCAAAAATCAATATCAAAAACTGAAAAATTTTTGAAGTTTTACCTTATGTTGCACCAAAAATTTTATGTGGAGAAGAATATACTAAGGCATCAGATGTATACTCTTTTGGTATTGTAGCATGGAAATTAATAACTGGTTATCCGCCATATCATAATATTCCACATGATAGTGGTCTTGCATTACAAATTTGTCGAGGTAAACGTCCAAAAATTCCATCAAATATACCAAAAATAATAACTAGATTAATTTAGGAATGTTGGGATGCTGATTCTAAAAAAATAACTACATCTAAGCAATTATTTACTATTATCAATAAATGGTCAAGTTTTGATAAATTTATTTTACCAACATCAACATTACCTTCTTACAAATTACATTCTAAAGCAATTTATACAAGTAGACTTTTTAGTACCACAAGTTCAAAACCAGTAAATGCATCAAATTTTATGAAAATGTACAGTAAAGGTAAAACATTTTATTTAATTCAAATATTTAAGATCTAACAATATTAATTTATAATTTTTTATAGGTTCAAGATGTTAGATTTAATAAACTTTTCATAGGCTCGAAATCCATTGGATTTAGTAAATTACTTAGCAATTAATACAACCAAGAAATCTTTTTTCTATTCTTTATAATGAATATTTGTATAAATTTTTTTATTTATACTGTAACTTTTACAATCAACTTTATAATTTATTATCTATGGCCGATTGGTGCAGCCTTGCACAAACTCATATTATTATAATATTTTATACCTTTATTCACACTTTTTGTAATATGAAAACCTTACTGACAAGAAATAATACATTTTAACTTTTTTACATATTAATTGAATTGAAATTTCGATTCAATTAACCGTATCTAATTAAGTAATAAAACTTTAGTATGATATGTACTTTCTTTTAAGTATAATGTTGTTTTTAAATTTGGATGCCTCTATTTGTTGAAAAATTCGATCTACAAAATTAAAAGCAAGTTGTGCGGTGCCTTAATTTTTAGGTTAGCAACTAGATCAAGTTCAGCAGATTGTAAATACAATTCAAAATCTTTTTTAAACCTTTTTTAACTCCAATACCATTCTGATAACATTCTCCAAGGTTATGAATCGAAGCAATATTTCCCTTTCAGCAGCTTTTTTGATAACAAAAAAAAAATGCCATTTTTAACCCCTCTCATAATTGATAACGATTTGCGACGCTATTTATTCCAGTAACATGTCTCATCTCTGCTGATTTTTGAAAATAAATAAATTCCTTAAGTTCGTCTTTTTTAACTCCTGATCTTCTATAATAACAATTTCCAGCATTATATGTTCCATAAACATTCCCCATCTCTGCTGATTTTCGATAATAGATGAATGCCTTATTTTCATCCTTTTCAACTCCAATTCCATTTCGGTAACAATATCCGACATCATTTATTGCAACTGCATATCCCATGTCTGCAGATTTTTTATAGTATTCAAAAGCCTTACGTTCGCCTTTCTCGACATCGATGCCATTATAGTATTTCCATCCGAGTTCGCGAAGTTTAAAACACAAGATAAAAATATATTTTTTGGCTTGATGGCATAAAACTAATATGGCCTTATTTAATCACGAATGCAATTTATTGATTTGTATTAATTTAATGGGCGTGATTAAGCATACAGCTATTTACTAGTCTATGTGACTAAGATAGCAAGCTTAACGGATAACTATTAATTACGCAATGCTATTCATCATTAATTTAGTCGGTGTAGTGAACACAAGAAATATTTATTATCATACTGATATTGAAGTTGGCTGAGTTTGTCAGGATTTAGAGTTAGAGCTATAATAAAAATTTTGTAGGATTTATATTTTCAAGTCAAGACCCAAATTTCAGCATCAGCGTTCAATAGTGGAATTATTTAATAATTTATTATTCGCTGTGAAATTTATATGTCATCTTCAAAGGAATTCGGAAATCATGTAGATTAAATTTGCAACCAGATAAAAAGTTATTTGCTGCGTAGCATACAACAACGGTATTTTCTGAATGCTTATAATAACCGAACTAAAAGAATGACTTAAGTTCTTTTGGTAATGATTGTGTCATTATCAAATGGCAAAGTTATTAATAATGATGCAGTCATTATCAAAATGACTCGAGTTATACTGTTGGTACGATCGTAGCAAGATGATAGGTAATAATTATAATGCAATACCTCTTATCTAGGTTACTTTACTTCGTGTTAGTTTAGTAGGGAATCATTTGCCATATATTTATTTGCATCCATAAATATTTGGTTACTGTATCACATAATATTTTCTAATTAGTTCTTTTTGATTAGCATTAGTTTATTGGGTGAGTATAAGAATTATTTCTAGTCTTGTCGATACTAATTATCATGCAGCATATTTTATTTTTAGGTTCATTTAATTCACGTTAGTTGATGGGTAAATATAGGTTATTTACAGGGTTGTCATGTTTATATGTTTTTTCTATTGGCTTCTAATTCTATTCATTTTTTTTTATTTTTCTACTGTTATTTTGAGTATTAAATTTTACTAATTAAATATAAAAATATTTTAAATTTATTACTTTACTGATGCTCTGACAATATATGTTTAATAATTGCAAATTATTAATAAAAAAAATTTTATATAAAGACAAAAAATTGAGCTTTTGTTCTATTGTTCTATTTGCCAACACTGGTTATTTACTAATTATATGCTTAAGAATGTTATTCGAAGGTTATAAATATTACCATTAAATTTATCGGAACAACTTCCATCTACTATTTCTTCATTTATCACAAATCTTATCTTTATCAATACAAATAAACCCTTCCATTGTATCTCTGTCAAGAAAAAGACTTCTTCGAAACATTAATCGCCAAACATTACCATAATAACTCTTTATCCGACTAACAAGATCTTAATAATAAGTGAATGCCTGCTTATTTGTATATAGCGTCGGACGATTACGATTACGCGTCCGTGGCTATCACAGCATGATGATTATATTGAATTCTGAGAGGATTAATTTTAAAATTCATAATGCTAAAGTATTGTCATAATTTTTATTAGCGTTAATTTTATTAAAATTATTTTTTTTAATTAATTTTATGGGATTTCATAATTAATATATTTTGAAAATAAGTGGGAGTTTAAAAGATTCTACTTCTATTCTTAAAATTCTGATTCAGTGAATTAAATAGGCACACGGTAAAATGGTAATGTATACGTTAAAAAATAGGATTTACGTATCACGTATTTTGAAGTAAATTCGTTAGTTATGAAACTTCTAATGTGAAGGAATTTCCATAGGTTTATTAGTGACCATCAAATACATCACATGTCATCATAATATTTATTGGATTGCCAATACTTATCTGATTGTTAGTAATCATCAATTATGACAATGTATTGTAACAATAACTATTATAATCACATCCCATGAAAGCCAATCAAATTTAATGCTCAAATATAATATAATACAATTAGAAAAACTTAAACAAATATTTATTTTGTTAAAATTTATCAAAAATTGGTAATAGCTTAAAATTGAGTATATGAAACTATTTTTTGGGTTTTAATAAAAAAAATTTCTTGCTAAATATTGTTATAAGACACTTTTTCTACCAGCATTCTGTCTTTACCTTAACTCTGACCAACAAAAAATGTTATTTTAGTAATACTATAGTAGTTTATAGCTACAAATATATATCAATTCTTAAAATAAATATATAGTTTTTAAACATAGTTTAATTATCTAAATTTTAATATATATAGAAATAAATAATAAATTTGATCAAATATAAATACTAAAAGGATCTTTTACAGTATAGATGACACCACTAATAACATGTACAGTCAACCCTCTATATAATTATCTAGTTGGGAGTATAAGAACTTTTTTTAAAAAATGTGCTTATAGATTATGCTTATATTGCGATTTTTTCTATATATTTATAATAAATTATTTAAAAAAATTAAGTGCTTATATAGGTGTGTGATTATAAAAATGAGACTATATAGAGGTCTGACTGTATCATTAAGGGGAGGGACAGAAATCAGCCGATTTTTTAGGGGGTGGGGGATTTGTGATTCGATCAGGTCCTATATTTTGTAGTTAAATTTAATTGACTAATATTTGAATTAGGTGGGGTGAGGTATAGCCTCTTAGTAACTTGAAATCACCTGATTTCTGTCCCTCCTCTAATCAATTGATTTAGAATAGATGTCACCTATGCTGCTAGAGATTCACTAAAATTAAATTTAATATTTACCAGTAGGAATTTCATTAGTATTGATAGATTTACTTGATAAAGTTTCTAATATTATAAAATAATTATATTATTATAAATAAAAAATAATTTTTTAATAAATTAAATTTTTTAAAAAATACCTTTAATAGCATTAATTGCATCAGATATTTTTTGTGTATTGATTATTTTGCTGGTAAACATCAAGTCGGGATGTTTTGGCGAAATAATTGGCAATTCTTTTGCTACATTATCTGCTTCTAAAAATTGCTTTTTAATTTCATTTTCTTTTGAACTTTTCATGATTTCATTCCATTCTTCAAGTTTAGAATAAATATCATCAGATCTGGGTCGTTTATCTGGATCAAAATTCATGCATTGGTTAGCTAACTCCATGTAGCAATTCGGGGTTCCAGGAGCAAATTCTGGACGCAACCCTTTGCAAATCTTAATTGCTAGATTTGTATTAAATTCATGACCATCAAAAGGCCTTTGACCAGTTGTTATTTCAGCCATGACAATACCAAAACCATAATATCGGCTTTTTGTGTGAACTGTGTTTCATCTAACAAAACTTCAGGAGCAACATAGGGCATGACTCCATAAATATCACCTAAAACACATTCATCTTTCTTTCTAGACAATCCTAGATCTGCAATATAAGATTTCACATTTTCATTAGTGCGTTTGTCTTGCA